GACCCCTATATACGATCCTAACCCTCACCCCTACCTATGACCCTAACCTTTACCCCTACCTATGACCCTAACCCTCACCCCTACCTATGACCCTAACCCTCACCCCGTACCTATGACCCTAACCCTCACCCCTACCTATGACCCTAACCCTCACCCCTACCTATGACCCTAACCCTTACCCTTACCTATGACCCTAACCCTCACCCCTACCTATGACCCTAATCCTCACCCCCTACCTACGACCCTAACCCTCACCCCTACCTATGACCCTAACCCTCACCCCTACCTATGACCCTAACCCTCACCCCTACCTATGACCCTAACCCTCACCCCCTACCTATGACCCTAACCCTCACCCCCTACCTATGACCCTAACCCTCACCCCTACCTATGACCTTGACCGTGACCTTGCACCTATCTATGACTCACCCATATCGTCGATCTTGTTGGCCATGCCGAGGGTCGTACCGACCAGCACCACGCACATCGTCAGCAGCAGCAACGCCGTCACCATGACGACGCGCGAAATCGTCTTCCGCCGCTGCGCCTCCTCCTTGTCCTCGTCGTCGTCGTCGTCGTCGGCGCCGACGGTCGCCTCGGCGTCGTCCCGGCCGACGCCGCGAACGCTCGAGCGCGACGTGTCGCTGTGCGTTCGCGCGCGGTGCGGCTGCGACGGGGGGTTTCTCGCCGTCGGCTCGTAGCGATTTCCGGTCCTGCTTCCGGCGGTGCTGCTGCCGTGGTGTCCTTTCTTGCGCTTCTCGTAGAGCTTCCGCTGCGCGTCGCCACCGTAGTCGGGAGGGTAGTTTCGGTTGCGGTTGCAGTCCTCGCTCGGGAGCACCTCTATCTCATTGTCGTCGTCGTCGTGCGGTCGCATGGCGGCGCTGCTGCTGCTGCTGCTGCTGTTACTGCTGCTGCTGATGCTGATGTTATGATGTTATTGCAATTGCTGCTGCTGCTGCTGTTGCAGTTGTCGGTGTTGTTGCTGTTGCTGTTTTCGTTGTTGCTGTTGCTGCTGTTTTTGTTGTTGCTGCTGCTGCTGTTGCTGCAGCTAATGCTGCTGCTGCTGCTGCTGTTGCTGCAGTGATTGTGTACAGGCGCCTACCTTGGCAGCGTAGGGAATCGATAGACACGCAGGCGGTAGTGAAACCACGTACACATGTGCTGTATGAAAATTAGCTTCTACCGCTCCCTCTCTATCTCGTAAAGACTGCAGTCTTTTTTTCTTTTTCTATTTCTCTTTTTTTCTCTCTCTCTCTCTCTCTCTTGCTTGCTTGCTCTTCCCCTCACTCTTTCTATCCTCTCTCTCTCTCTCTATCTATCTCTATCTCTATCTCTGTCTCACGGAAACAATCACGCACTATTCGCGTTGATCGATTCGATCGCTCGCGTTGAGAAATCCGGGGTTAGTATATATCACGTTATTACACGACGCGTGCAGGTGCGCTTCGTTTCACCTCACTGCTGCTGCTGCTGCTGCTGCTGCTGCTGCTGCTGCTGCTGATCAATTATTAACCACTTGCCATACAGTTGTCAGTATGCCAGTATGTCAGTATGCCCATGTTAATCACACTAGCTGGGAACACAGACACGCACGCACAGCACAGCACGCAGTAGTATGAGTATACGAGACTGCTACTGATTTTTGTCTGAGCTTCTTTAAGTGAACTTCTCAAACGCGGAAAGAACACGTGTGCGACAGTCTAGGTTCACACGCACGGGTATCCTCCGTGCGCATCGGCTGCAAGCAAGCGGCACTGCGTCTCCTCTCTCGGCTCCTCTCTCGTGGTCGCCGCCGCTAGCGGGGAAGCCCTAAATGGCTTCTTTTCGTCTTCGCACGCGGCTCGCCATCTGGGCCGCACTGGCGGCTGTCTCCACCGCGCACGCACGCGCGCACGCAGGCACGGGCTAGGTGGTCCGTCGAACAGCGGATGCTGAGGATCGAGTCGTCAGGTGAAGCCGCGAGATATTCTCAGCACGCACACGCACGCACGCACGCACGCACGTACTGGGATGTGAATGAATGAGTCAGCGCTCGCTGACACGGCGTCTGCAATTCGCCGCTGCCGCCGCCGCCACTGCTGCTGCTGTTGTTACTGTCCCCATCGTCTGCTGCCGAGCTCTCTCTCTCTCTCACTCACTCGCTCGCGCGCGCGTGTGTTTGTGCAGCGGCAGCGGCAGAGGAGGAGTAGTGCTATGGTGACGCTATTGCTACTGTTGCCGCTAGTGGCGCTGCTGTTGGTTGTTGATCGGCTGCGCGCGCATGTGTGGCAGACGACGATGATATCAAACTAATATAGCGGCAGATGCAGCAGCGAGAGAGAGTGAGGAGGGAGGGAGAGAGGGAGGGAGAGAGGGAGGAGAGAGAGAGAGAGGGCAGAGAGAGGAGAGAGAGGGAGAGAGAGGTGTGAGAGAAGAGAGAGACAGGTGAGAGAGAGGGGGAAGAGAGAGAGGAACGAGAGAGAGAGATGAGAGGAAGGAGAAGAGAGAGGACGAGAAGAGAGAGGGAGGGAGGGAGAGAAAGGAGAGAGAAGAGAGGAGCGGAGAGAGAGTGAGGAGGAGGCAGAGAGAGAGTAGGGGTGAGAGAGGGAGAGAGAAGGAGGAGAGAGAGGGAGAGAGCAAGAAGGGGGAGAGAGGCGGAAGAACAGCACAGAGAGAGATGAGAGATGGAGAGAGAGAGACGAGAGTAAGACAAGAGAGAGATGATCGAGAGAGAGAGAGAAGGAAGGCGAGCGGGGAGGTAGAGAGAGCTGAGGGAGGACGAGGAGAGAGAGAGGAGGAGGGCAGAAGCGAGGGAGCAGAGAGAGAGGCAGGAGAGAGGAGGGAGGAGAGAGAGAAGCAGATGAGGGAGGACGCGAGAGATGAGAGAGAGGGGAACGAGAAAAGATGTGCAGGTGGGAGAGAGTGAGGGAGGGACGGGAGAGAGGAGTGTGAGAGAGAGAGAAGCAGGTGGCGGTAAGAGAGAGAGAGAGGGCGATGACGAGAGAGAGAAGAGAGAAAAGAGAGAGAGAGGGGAGAGAGGGCGAGAAGAGAGATGGGGAGAGGGAGGGGGGAGAGAGAGAGAGAGGGCAGAAAGACGAGAGAGAGAGACGGAAGAGAGAGAGAGAGAGAGATGGAGGAGAGAGAGAGAGAGAGAGAGAGAAGGAGGAGAGAGAGAGAGACGAGAATAGAGAGAGGGGAGAGAGACGTTGAGGAGGAGGGGGAAAGAGGAAGAAGGCGGGAGAGAGAGGGAGAGAGAGGAGAGAGAAAGAGAGAGGAGGGAGACAGAGAGAAGAGTGGGGAGAGAAGGAGAGACACAGACAAGATGAGAGAGAGAAGAGAGCAGAGCGATAGAGAGAGAGAGAGAGAGAGCAGAGAGGAGCGGACGAGAGAGAGAGAGAGAAATAGGAGAGCGAGAGAGAGTGAGGAGGAGGAGAAAGAGAGAGAGGGGGAGAGAGATGGGAGAGAGAGGAGAGAAAGAGAGAGGGAGGGAGACAGAGAGAGAGAGGGGGAGAGAAGAGGAGAGACACAGACAGATGAGAGAGAGAGAGAGAGAGAGAGAGAGAGGGGGGGGAGAGGGGGGTCGAGAGAGAGAGAGAGCAAAAAAAAGAAGAAAGAGATAGAAGCGCCCAGTGTTTTGCGCGAGGCAACAAGGAAAAGATAGATATATGAAATGCAGAGAGAGACGAGAGAGAGAGATTAAAACCAGAGCCGAAGAGAATGAAAGCCGCGAGTTGTGAAAGTGTTTGCGAGAGCGCACAAAGGGAAAACGAAGAGAATGAAAAAGCGAGAGGAAAGAGAGAGAGAGAGAGTATGAGAAGAGAAGTAGAGAAAGAGAGCAGCGAGAGGAGAGCTAGAGAGAGAGAGAGATTGAGACGAGACGAGAGATGAGAGAGAGAGAGAGAGAGAGAGAGCGAAAGGGACGAGGCGAGATAGAAAGCACCGCATACTCTCCATCTCGCTCTCTCTCTCTCTCTCTCTTCTCTCTCTCTCTCTCTCTCTCTCTCTCTCTCTCTCTCTCTCCTCTCTTCTCTCTCTCTCTCTTCTCTCCTCTCTCTCACTCTTCTCACTCTCTTCCAATCTCACTCTCTCTCTCTACTCCTCCTCTCTCTCTCTCTCTCTCTCTCTCTCTCTCTCTCTCTCCTCTCTCTCTCCTTTCTCTCTTTCTCTCCCTCTCTCTCTTTCTCGCTTCCCCCCCCCTCTCTCTCTCTCTCTCTCCTCTCTTACTCTCTCTCTCTCTCTCTCTCTCTCTCTCTCTCTCTCTCTCTCTCTCTCTCTTGCTCTATCATCTCGCCCTCTCGCTCTCTCACACGCACACACTTTCTCTCTATATATATATTTTATATATCGCCCCTATCTCGCTCTTTACTCTCCCTCTCTACGCCATCTCCCCCTTTCTTCTCTCTCTCTCTCTCTCTCTCTCTCTCTCTCTCTCTCTCTCACACACACACAACCCTGTCTCACTCTCTCTCCTTCACTCTTCCTCTCTCTTTCTCCCTCTTTTTTCTATCTCGCCCTCTCACTCTCTTACCACACCACACTGTCACTCTCTCTCTCTCTCCTTCACGGCTTCCCCTCTCTCGATCCCCTCTCTCCCTCTCTCACTGTCTCTCTTTCCCCTGTTCTCTCTCTCTTTCTCCTTCACTCTTCCCTTCTCTCGCTCCCCTCTCTCCCCCTCTTACTGTCTCTCTTTCCCCTTTCTCTCTCTCTCTCTCCTTCACTCTCCCCTCTCTCGCTCCCCTCTCACTGTTCTCTTTTCCCCCTTCTCTCTCTCTCTCTTTCACTCTTCCCCTCTCTCCCCCTTCTTCATGTCTCTCTTCCCCGCTTCTCTCTCTCTCTCTCTCTCACACTCGATAATATCGAATTAGCGCCTATATACTAAGACCCGCCATACTCCTACGGAAGGAATAACGGCATATACAGTCCGACCTCCATTTATCCGGCCATCCGTTACCGGAATCTCTTATTAACGCCGCGATCTCGCCCAGTGTATGGTCTCTGTTTTTTATTCACTTCCACCTAAAATCTCGCCTCAAAATCGCCTCAAATACTCGCGCGAGTACCAACCTGTACGTGTGTTTCCTGCGCCGAGTTCGCCCGCGCGCGCGCGTGTGTGTGTGATGTGTGATGTGTGTGTGTGTGTGGGGCGGGGGTGTGTGTGTCTGTGTGTGTGTGTGTGTGTGTGTGGTTGGGTGGTTGTCTGTGGTGTTGTCTGCGTCGTGTGTTGTGTGTTGCTCGTCGTGTCCGCTATGCTCCGCTAAAATTTCTTGTTTTATTTCATATTTATTTCCATTTCATATAAACCATTAAACACGATCAGTTTGTTACAAAATAATCATAGCAACGGTAAAATATATAATCATATCCGCCGCCAAATCTAACTATAGCGTGAGTGAACACAGAGCGTCCCCACTTCTCATTCGTAGTAGCATCTCGCTATCTGTTACGCTGATGTGAGCGAGTGAGGAGGGCGTGAGTGATGGTAATGGAGTGAGTGGGCGGCTGGGTTTCGCAGGAAAGAGTGAGTGAGTGATAGTGGTGCGGTGGCGAGCTGAGAGTGACGTGATGAATGTGAGTGATCAAGTGAGTGAAGTCAGTGGGTAAGGCAAGAGAGCAGAGAGGAGAGAGAGAAGAATCNGAGAGAGAGAGAGAGAGAGAGAGAGAGGTACATAGATCGTGATATTGCGTGTGCTCTCCGCCGAGTCAGCGGAACCGCTCGCCGGATATATGGTATCGGTCGATTTGTGCACGAAACGCTGACTTCGCGGATAAGCGATCGATCTGCCCCCTGCTGGC